GACAAAGATATTGTCAAATACAGAGTTTAAGAACTTTACTGTTGCTACTTGATAAATTATATAACAGATATTAACTTGTACAATGCTTTGTCATTGTATTGAAGGTAGAGTATTTTTTAGGTATTTATAATAATTTTGATAAAAGAAATGTCTCTTATTTGTAATACTTAACTTTGATTTAATATTTATGTATTAATATGAAATATTTATTGTTTATCATCTTAGCTTCTGCCTGAAAGGACAAGGATTAGATGGCAACTTCCCTGCTGTAATAGACTATACACCATATTTGAAGTTTACACAAAGGTACTTACCATTTTGAAATGTTGTTGACATCTTAGTTTATAATTGTATGTTTTGTGCAGTAGTCATCTTTTTTAAACTACTTTGTATAAAACATTTGTTTCAATATCAGAAAATACTAGAGTATAAAATTCAGTTGTATTTTTAGTATTTATGTAAATATACATTTTTATATAATTGCAATTCTCGTAGTTTTTACATATAAAAGCATTTATTGATATTGCTTTAATTACCATGTAATAGTAATAACTGAAATTGCCCTGCAGTAGTCCAGTGAAGTTTCAAATTTGTAATTCACTAGATACTTTTCTATTTTACCTCCTTTATAGAGAATAATGAATAGCATTTACAAATCAATTTGCCTTTTGTTTCTGTTGTAAATTTTCAACAGAAAATTTATTTTAAGAAAATTCAATGAAAACTTTGACTCTTAAAAAATATGCTTATAAAAAAAGTTGTGCCAATTTATCCTCCTATGATTATTGTGTAGGCATTCTAGATTTCCCACAAATACAATAGCTTTGAAATTAATCAGATGAAATATATACACATTTCCAAGTTCTACTAGAAAAATTGATCTCCTGGCTAGCATGGTATTCTTTATATACTTCTAAAATGTTATAATCAAGGCAAAATTGTAAGCTACTCTGTGTGTATATGTGTGCGTAAAACATGTATATATGTAACATGGGTGCATACATACATACATTCAAGAATGTATGAAAGGCATTTTCCTAGAAGCCAGGGACACATATTAAAAATAAGTGAATTTTTGATACTTCCAAAAAAAGCCAAGATAACCACCACCTAGTGAGAGATAACACTTAATATTTCAGAGCTAGGTGTTTGACAATATTTTGGATGGGGAGGGAGAAAGAGAAATAGTGCATTATGACAATTATCTTCATCGAGCAAGTGATGGTAAACAGGATACTTCTAGTACATTAAGTGTAGAAGTAAGAAGATGTTTTAAACAGACATACAGTTACAGTATTTTGGGATATGTTAGATTATGTACATTTTGTGAAGATGTCTAGTAGTTCAAAATAATAATAGTAATTATTACTGGATGTTTATTATATATAAGACATTTTTAAGAGCTTTACTTCTGTTAATTAATTTACTCCTTAAAGTCAGTGAGGTAGGCATTACTTTCTTGATTTAAAAATAATAAAACAGGAACACATAGAACTTAAAACATATCATATGGGTGGTTTTGTTTTGTTTTGTTTTTTTGCTATGCTGGGATTGAACCCAGGGCCTTACATATGCAAGTACTCTACTACTGAATTAAATCCCTGCCCTAGACATATTTTTTTGAAAAAAAAAACTAACTAGAATAATATATATTTTATGCTTATACAATTATCAAAATGAAATCTGTTATGTATAATTAGAATCAAAAATAGAAGAAAAAGAGAGAAAGAAAAACAAACAAACCCAATTAGGTTCCTAATCTAAAAAAAA